CAGTTTTGTCTGCTGGGAAGAGAGAGTGATGGTGTCAGTATTTCTTGGAGGCAGCCAAATTGATTAAGAATCAGTGTATGTGACATCCTGTTTCTCTGACCACAGAAGGAATCAATCAAGATATGAGTTTCCTTGTTCACCACCCCAACCATCTGCCCACCCTCCTTCCTCAGGAGTAGGTGACTCATCTCCTGTTTCCTTGGTGGTTTTGCACCCAAATCACCTGGGGTTGCTTGGTTTGTTTTTAAAAAACCAAGCAGCCCAAGCCACAGGAAACTCCATGGCCAAGGCATTATGGAGCTCTGTACTGTGGTGGAATATCTAGAGGACAGTGCCCCATTTTTCAACTGTCATTACAAGAAGTTGTTCACCTTCTGGTTAGCCTGAATTTAAAAAGCAGTTATAACATAAAGCACTTGTATGGACTGGGAAAAACGTCCTAAAATCCTGCACTAGAACGTTATGCCCTCTACAGAGCAGGCAAACACCATCTCCTCACTCCCAACAGCACCAACATTTCTAGATGGCAGCAGCAAGAAGCTGGCAAATGATCTGCAGCAGAGTAGCAACCCCATAAACCAAATCACAGCAACTGCAACATCTGTATACAGCTGGTGGAGCTCAATTGTCAAGCTGAGCCCAGGAGAAAACTTCTCATTTTCCCCTAGAAACTTAGAAATTTCACAGCTCAGGTGCTGCTCAGTATTACAGCTCACTGCCCACTTCCAAGCTACTTTGTGATGTTTCTCCACAAATATCTGGAGGGCCAGTGGCCTGACTTTCTCCTTTCTTCCTGGCTCCGATTCCAGTGCATCTGGGTCAGTGAGCAGTAGCTAGTTGCTTGGTTCTGGTACAGTCCATAGATTCAGAGCTCCTATGAGCAATGCCAGCTCCTTGTGCCTGCTCAGCCCTCCAGCTTTTCCCACTGTCATTCAGCACCAGCAGAAGAACATCAGCCTCAAAAGGTAACAGCCAGGATAGGTTCTGGAAACACTCAAAGGGCTTCATCTAGGGCTGTGTTTTTCTCTTTTAATAATCAGAAGTGGATGTGTTACCGTTGTTTAGTTATATAAAGTTCTTCAAGTAAACGTTGCTCCTCATAGCTCATCCAACGGTCTTCAAGCTCCTCTTCTTCCTTCTGCAGCAACTGCTCGTAGAGCCTGACAGGATTCCAGCCAGTCATGATGTCGTAGGTGATGACACAGCCCAGGGAGTGGGACACAATGGAGACTTTCCCTCCTTTCTCCTCAAACTCTGGATTCCGGGAGCAGAAGAGCGTGTAGAGCCTGTTCAGCTCCTGCTGCAGCCCCTTCACCAGCTGGTTCAAGAAGATATGAGAAAAAAGTTTAATAGCAACATCTTATGGCTCCTGTTCAGGTAGGTTTACCTACTACACTGACTTCTCAAACACACATCTAGGATGACCATGATGGACCATTCACTTAGGCTTGGAGAATGAGCAAAACCTTATGGTCAGCAGCAACAGTTTGGTTGAGTGTCTCTGACTCCAGAGGTTCATCTCTCTCCTCCAAACCCAGCAGCAACCACCACACAGGACCTGTGGTGAGCCTAGAACTGCTACCCTCCACTGGCCAAGGTGTTAACCTGAAATAAACCCTAACACAAATGGCAGTTGTGCTTAAAGTACTGAACAGCATCCTCTGAGATGAGCAACAGCAAGGTCCTTGGTTGTCACAAATGTCATTGTATGTCCCTCACTGCTTCTTTCTCTACCTTGTCACAGCACTGAATGTTTCTCCTCAGTCAGAGGTTCAGCTGCTTTTTTGACCTAAGGAGGCTGGAAGGAGCCTCTTCTCCCTTTTCTCCATTGATCCAAGTGAGAGCACCAGCATTCATAGAATCACAGACTGGTTTGGGTGGGAAGGGACTTTTCAAAGTCACCCAGTGCAACCCCCTGCCCTGAGCAGGGACATCTGCAGCTAGAGCAGGTTGCTCAGAGCCCCGGCCAACCTCACCTGGGATGGTTCCAGGGATGGGGCAGCCACCACCTCTCTGGGCAGCCTGGGCCAGGGGCTCACCGCCCTCAGTGTCAAAAATTTCTTCCTTCTTTCTCTCATCTCCCCTCTTTTAGTTTGAAATCATCACCTCTTGTTCCTACCTCATTGCAGGGGACTGGGAAGACAAATCCTGAGATACTACAGTGACAGCCTACCTGGGTTCTGGGAAAACATCCTCAAACTGGTTTCGGATCTTCATAAAGCTTACCTGAACTCATCAAGTCTTTTGTTATTCTGTCCACTGGTTGGCTACAAGGAGCTGCATCTTTCTGTCCTACCTCCCCTCCTACCATCCTGCACCTATTGTAAACTCTTCCAAAGGAATCAGGATGAAATGATGCTGCTAAAGAATAAAAGGCCTCATCTCAGACAAAAGGAAGAAATGGGAGGAGAAAAAGCACAGATAAGACAGAGACAGAATTTGTAAACAATGCTAAGAAAAACACAAAAGTGTTCAAAACCACAGAAAGTATTTTTTCAGTGAGAAATATTGAAAGCCATGAGATGCAGGAACTAGAAGAGACTAAAAAAAGCAGCTTTGCTTGTGAAACTCAGCACAGTAACTGAGCAAAGCTTCCAAACTCTGGCCTAAAGGAGGACAAACAAGAAACTGCAAATCATTCCCTTGTTAGCAACAGGAAATTAAAGCTACAGAACATGTAATTTGAGCATGATTTTTCAAGAGCCTGAGTCATTATTGAACATGAATCTGCATGGCACGAGGAGTGTCAGTGTTTGATACACATTTTACTGAGTGGGAGTCCACACATCAAACCCTCTGCCTGTGAAATATTTGACAAAGCCTTGCAGCAGCTTGGGGAAATAAGAGTTTTAACATGTTTTCTAGTAGTTTTGACTGTGATGTTTCCTATTTTTGTGTTTGGCTCTATACAGACTTTGGGTGCTACTTCCACATGTGAACAAACAGGCAGAGGTTTTGGCAAGAGTTGGAGCTGAAACTAGAAATCAGAACTAGCTTTGGCTGGCTGGCATCTCCTCAGTTTAAAAAGGTTTTGATTAAAATCCAGAACAAAAGAGCAGAGATCTGCTGAAATCCAAGTGTTGTGGGATCCCTGCCAGGAGCTCAGTGTAAGGAGGGAATGCTGATAGCCAGGAGCCTGTGTGGTTGGCTGCTGTGGGAGCCTCCAAGGGAGCCAACACCCATCAACCTGCCACCAGGGAACTCAGCAGGGAGCCCCGGACCCCAGCCACACATCAGATGCTCTGAATGGAGTGCTGGCTTCAGCTTTGACTCAGTAGTGTAAAAAAAGCCAAGGAAACTAGTGCTGGACTCATACCAGCTTCCAGCACTGCTGTCAGGGCAGCAGGGAGATGAGTGATGCCATCTGAGAATCATAGAATTGTTTTGGTTGAAAAAGAGGCTTAAGATCATCCAGTCCAACCCTTCCCCCATCCCTGCCAGGTCCCCACTGCCCCGCGTCCCTCACACCACATCTCCACGGCTTGGAACCCCCTCCAGGGGTGGGGCCTCCACCACTGCCCTGGGCAGCCTGGCACAGCCCTGGGCAACCCTCAAGGGCAAGAAATTGTTCCTCAGGGCCAACCGCAGCCTCCCCTGGTGCAAAGTGAGGCTGTTTCCTCTTGTCCTGTCCCTTGTCCCTGGGGAGCAGAGCCCGACCCCCCCCTGGCTCCAGGCTCCTGTCAGGAGCTGTGCAGAGCCCGAAGGTCTCCCCTGAGCCTCCTTTGCTCCAGGCTCAGCACCCCCAGCTCCCTCAGCTGCTCCTCCCCACACTTGGGCTCTAGACCCTTCCCCAGCTTCGTTGCCCTTCTCTGGCCACGCTCCAGCCCCTCAATCTCCTTCTTGGAGGCAGGGGCCCAAAACTGAATCCAGGATTTGAGGTGTGGCCTCCCCAGTGCTGAGTCCAGGGGGATGATCCTTGCCCTACTCCTGCTGGCCA